CTTTGCCCAACCCGCCACCCTAAAATCCAACGTATCTTTAGAGGAGACTCCAGTGTAGGGAGACCAATGGGAAGACCAAAATCCAGGGGTCCAAAATCCTTAATTTGACCACCCCACTGCTTGGGTTACCTTTCAGGCTTTCCTACTTGGAACCAAAATCCGTGCAACCGGCCTCGATCACCTGCCTGAAGGGTGCCAAGCACGCAGCCTCGGCATGCTCTGGGTGATATCGCTCCCAAACCAAACGAGACAAAAGTATGTGACGTGCCAAAATAGTGAGAAGCAGAAAAAGAGCGGTTCACGCAAACGGCATGCGTTCCATTGGTTTCCATTGTAAGCTCCGAACATGGCTTTTGGTGGTGCTTTTGGTTTCCCTGTTTGTAAGACAACAGAAGGCGGGTAGCCCCAACACAAACCGCACCCAATCTCCAAGCATCGTGGGCCAAACTTGGGAATTCCTGCATGACCACCAGGTGGTTTGCATGCTGGAACCCATTGCCAGAAACCAAGGATCTCTAAGGATCACCCAATTAAGGGGGTCCGTGGTCAGGTCGGGTTGGCCAAGTTTGCAAACAGGGCAATTCCCTTCACGTGAGTAGCCTCAAGAGAGCTTCGCTGAAAGAACAGAACGGTTCCAAGGGAACAAAAAGAGGCAAAAAGAGGACATAGTTTGAGGCTCGGCACGCCAGACGACAGGGGTCCCTCTATTTCTCCTTTGAAACATCGCCGCCAACGGAATCGCGCTTCTTTTCAGGGGACCAACAGGTACTGTTATCCACAAAAAAGGGGAAAACATAGGGAACCCCGAAAGAAATGCTAAGGACTTCCGAGCTATCGCAAGAAAACCAGCCCCGACAAGCCCACCTCCGCCGCCTCCGCGCGGTGCATAGCGGCCTGATGCAAGGCGCTTGGGCCAGCGACTCGACACCAATTTGGGTGTCTGTTTTTGTTGGGGGGCCCTCCAACATGGCGGGGTTCCTTTGGTGTCCCGACAAAGGCCACACAAAAAGGGTACCCTCAAAACAAGAACACACCCAAAAAGAAAGAACGAGTGGACCTCGCTGTGGCTGATCTGTCCCTTAAGCCGCTTCCCAGGTGTTTAGTGGGACTCACTTCATCCAAAGCTGGGGGGCTGTGAGCAGATACGGGACTTGGAGCAGGGTGTCGGTTTCAATCAACATTACCCCACCAATAACCAGTCCCTACAAGGAGGCATCGCTGCTTTCAGCAGGCCATTCCCATACTTCCTACCGAGAACAAGCAGATCTGCTGCTCAATGCGCTCCCGACCTCGGCGGCTTCCCGTAGACCCACCACTGCTGCCTCAGCTTGCTGCTTGGTTTCCGATGCGCCGACTCTGGCATGAAACATGGGGTTGTTTGCAAATGCAACCTGAAGCCTGGCGTAAGTCGGGCTTCAGTCTCCCTTGTGTGGTTCTTCGGTTTCTGTGGAGCAACCTTCAAAACAGGTTCGCAGGCAACTTGCCTGGCGATCTTGCAAGCCCCTCACCCCAAGAAAAAAGCGATCAATCTGATGTTGGGCTTTGTGCCGAAACAAATCGGGAGCCTTTTGGCATGAAAGGACACTTCCATGCAGAACCAAATGTCCTCGCGAAAAACGGTAGCTTTCACAACATACTTATTTGTCTTCTGACGCGACGCATTGCCAGCAGGTTAACGTACTTCTTCGCCAGCATCAGTTCTCACGCACGCTAAGGGCGTGGCAAGCAACAGGTCCCTGTCGCTATCGGAGTCGTCGTGCGACTGGCAGGCAACTACAGCTTCCACTTCGTGCAGGTCCCGAGGCATGTCCACTGTCCACGACGCAAATCTCAGGGGATCCTTCTGACGTGTTTGTTCAAGATGAATGTCCAAGTCATCCCTTTCATAGAGGCGAGTTTACAGGTGTGGTTTTGAGAAAATCAACGGGATGGTACGAACACCGCAAGTCAAATTGGGAATGTCAGATAGACTTGACAGACTTTTTGACTCAGGGTTTCATGATGATCCTTGCCTTGTCAAGAGGCATGCTGACCATGGTACACCGAGTGCACGAATACACTCAACTCATGATGAATGCTGACCCTTGCAAATGACTGCTTCCACCGTGATAGTTCCCTTCGCTGGTCACAAAGTTGCAAAACAATATATTGACTGCTGCTGAAAACGAACAGTAAGAGGAACAAAGCCAGCTCTTGTTTGTGACGGTTGGCCTTCCAAATCCTTACACTTGTTTCGTGTCTACATGTGTGTATATATATATAATTTAGTTTTACATGTTTTCATATTTGATTTTTCTAGATGTGTTTAGGTGTCCTCAGATTTGCGTGGATTATTCAGGGTTGCTGGGAGTGTGTCTCAGAGGCTACAGGGTGAAATGCCTTTGGTGACTGTCACTGCGCAACTCCATAGAGTAGCGGTTGTGTTGCAGCTGGAGTTTTCTCGTCTTTGGTCCCTCTGGCTCATATTCTCACCAGATTACGAAACTGCTAAGCATTTTCCTGCATGAGGATGCCAATGAAGGAAGTACACGAGTGAAAGTGTTGCAGCGGTTGGGATGCGGCAGGGGGCAAGGGTTCCTAAAAAACTCCTTCAGGTCTAGCATAGCAGCAGTGGGGTTCTGAAGAAATGCCCTGAAGAACCCGTAGAAACCTAGGGCATGGAACGTCAGACTGTGCTTCAGCGGCTATTGGGGGGCAGTCATGACTTCCCTTCGCCATCCGAATCCTGAAGCTGTCAATGACTCACGACGTTTCGCCTGGGGTTCCCGGCTCTGGGGTGTGCCTCGTGCGCCTCCGGCGGCCTGGCTTGGGGATACCTCAGGGCCCAGGTTCCGAACCGATTCCTTGGACGTGTGGCCGAAGGGAAAGAAACCCTCTTTCCAGTCCATTGTTTAAGGCAAGACGTGGCGAAATACTTTGGGGTTGCAACCAACTGCTTTTGTCGAATGCGCTCAACCTGCAACCCGTCCGCAACTCTGACAGGCTTTTCGTTTTACAAAGGATCGTTTTGTTTGGAGCAGCCGGTACCGTCCGCATTGGATGAACCAGAACTCCAGGTTGATCAAACATGGCCCCGCATCTCTTTCAAAGTCTGGCCCTTCTTTTGCTTGCAAGCCAACCATGCAAGCATTGCTGTTTGAGAGGTGCAGTGTTCACCTAGGTTATTGCTCTCTGTGAGAGGACTTCATGTTGGAGGGTAAAGGTCCGACAGCGCTGGGACGCGAGCGAAGCACGTCTGTGCTGGTGCTTCGCCTGGGGCGCTTGGTCTTCAAATGGGAAAATACCAACATGCTAAGCTCCCATTTGGTTTCTCTTCGAATACCTTGTGGATTCCCCTTTGTGTGGCCTCAGGTTCCCTGTGGTTTACTTTTGGTGTCCCTTTCGGCTTCCCTGTGGCTTCTATTTGGTTCTCCTTTGGATTCCCTGTTTTGTCTTTGTTCTTCTTTGGTTTTTGTTGGGTTTTCTCCCTAGCAAAACACATCTATATGGATGTGTATATATATATATATATTTTTGGCTTTCGAAGGGATCGCCTGAGCTAGGCCATGTTCCTAGTCCGTGAACAACGGATCACATGACTCACTAGTGGCTCCTTTGAAGAGTAGTCCCCCTCTTGCTTACAATAAACTACCCATGAAAGAAACGCCATATGCTCGCGCGCACACACAAACAAGGCACGCATGTGCGCATACATTGTAAATAGTGTGTTATGTATAATATGTATATACATACAAACATAGCAATACAACTACTGATACACACGTACTTGGGCAATCGTTCAGCAAATATATCGAGTCTTGTATCAGCAGCTTCGTGTATCAAGGGCGAATGCCATGTACACGTCAGGTTGTACCGAATTGATGAACTCCAACCCGTTCTTTTTATATCGGTTGAATCAGGTTTGGAGACTTTAAGCACATACCCCAAAGGTCACCCAGGTTTGCCGCAGACCCACGGTTGTGTTCGGTTCCTGTAATTTGGACCCTGCTGTGCACTGGAAGCCATCATCATGTGCACGATCATGCTCGTGCTTGATCAATGGAATCCATCATCCGTTCTAAGACCTCAGGCGGGGACAGGATCCAAGATGTGCCCTTTGAGGCATAAATATATACACTCAAAGCACAGAACTAGACACATTGCTCCATGAATGTTTCCAAATTACCATCCAAATGCACAGGGTTAGTGCCACCCTATCTAGGTTGGTACGCAATAGACATTGCCTGTGTAGTTGGTACAGTGTCTGACATTCCCTTGGCATGTCGACCGAATCACTCTCCTATTCTGGGTCCTTTTTGAGGGTGCGCTGTAAGTGGCTTGATTTTAAGGGAAGCCAAGTCCACTTTAAGGGAAGCCAAGTCCACTTTGAGACACATGGTTGAAACGTGCCTGTCTCAAAATAGGGGAAGCCCAAGGTGGGTGGTTTGCCTTATCCTTTCCCTTTGCGGTGCAAATTCGGTACCTGTGCACGTCTCGCCTCCAGCCCGTAGGCCGTCACAAGCTTCCGAACTCGCGGGTGCACCGCAGCATGTAGCCTCAGAGCTGGCACGATATGCGTAAAGGGGACCCCGAACAATGGCTTGTGTTCTATTTGCTTTTGCGTGTAGGAACCGGGCAAACCTTTTTTTCACAGGCCCTTATCTGTCACCTTCATGCTTCATCAATCATGCCAGTGCGCTGAAATGGGGAGATCCCCTTGCACCGTTGAGGGAGACCAAAGGCAATCAACGTCTCCTGTTGGACACACCATATTCCACAGGAACCTCGCAGGACAAGTCTTCCAAGGCGGGAATGGTACGAGCAATCCGCACATTCTGTGGCGCACGCCGGTCGCCCTCTCTGGAGCGTTGGCTCGGCCTTAAGGCAAAGGGCGAAAAGCCTTCACCCCTTCACACTGAGCAGCGCCCAACACCCGATGACGTGTTCTGCTGAGATGGTCATGAAGGCTCAAACATTGCCAAAATCCTTATCACGATCCAAGGGAACCCCAAAATATGGCTAACGTTTTTGGCTGGGCGCTGCTCCAGTGTGCACGACTTTTGGACCAGAAGCTGTGCGGCTGTCCCGAAGTCACTACGCTGCAGCATCAGTGGACATACTCCTCAGCTTTTCCTTCTCCTGGCCAACGTCGCTTGGAGCTTTGCTTCGCTGTCACGCCGCATTTTAACACGGGTGTAGTAGTTATCTCTCCCACCAGGAGACTATTGTGCTTGTTTCGGCCTTTGTGTCCTGAATGCAGCAACTGGGTGATCCGTTCCCTTGGTGCTAACAAACCGGGTCCTTTTGGAATCCAGGTTCTCAAACACTCCAGGCATGCAATGCTTAAATGGGTCGAATCTGGGTGTGTGTGTGTATATATATATATATGTATACATATGTATATATATATATGTATTCTATTTGATTCCTCTACATAGTACCTATATACATGGATGTGGGCTTGGTTTGGGACCCCGAACCCACTCCCGAGGGGCGAGCCTGCTGTCTGGCAGCCTCCAAGCTCTCGGGAAATGCCATCGCTGCTCCGATGACAAGCTCCAGCTTCTCCCCTCAGCCGGTCAACGCCATGCGTCTCAAACTTGGGGACCCCCCAACTGGGTGGCTCGTCGTCAAGGTTGGACCCCCAAAATGGATCTTGGATGTCCTTTTGGTTTCCCTTTAAAACCCACAAAAACAAGCGACTTCGGCTTCCCCTGTGCTGTTCCCCTGTGGCTTTCCAGTGCGAAAAGGCTACCATCAAAAACTTAAACCCATGGCTGCCACTAGGTTCCTTCTTGATGGCCCCAAAAAGGTTGCTTCAAGGAACACCAAACACACACGCACACACACACACACACACCATCCAAGGATGGGGCACACAAGGAGTCGCTATGCTGAGCCTCACACTGGCCTTGTGCGGACGGCCCTCCAAGCACGCCAAGAAGGATTCGGCCCAGGCCTCCACTGATCCGATCAACCCACCGGGAACAAAGCTGATAAGCCTGCTCTCTGACGGAACTGTGTTGTTTATCTGATCTCTTTACAAGACAAACAGGAGAGGCCACGTTCTGATTGGATCGGTTGACGCCCAGTCCCAAGTGTAATTGTTCAAGACCAACCAACCAGCAAACCAACACACTGCCAGACTGCCAGCCAGCAGGGAAAGCAACAACAGACCCAAGAAACAAGCATCCAAATCAACCTCATCGTTATTGTCTAATTTTCTTAAAAGACATGCTTCAGGAAGCTTCCGCGCCTTGGTCACGTCGTCCTTCTCGTCATTGAGCTCTATTGCAGACACAGCTGCCCCTTTCCTCAGGCTGAGTCACGCCAAAGAGACATCTTGAATCAGCATGCCCTAACCTGGGCACAAAGGCAGCACTGCCTCCATTCACAAGGTACAGGGTCGCGCAAAGTCCATCAAGCAAGCGTTTCTGAAGGCAGGACACTACCTCTGTATCAGAACTCGGGGAGAGGGCGCCAACACTCAGCCACATGCCGTTGCCGGCCCTCAAACATCCTCAGACCGGCCAGGTGTCAGCACGGACAGGATCGGCACACCGATCATCATGCCCATGGGTCCCCAAATAAAGCCGAAATAGTTGATCGTCAGCAACACCCAAACCTTGGCTTCGCGTCATTGCTGAACTCCTGTCAACCTTGCTAAATACGTATACGTATGTCAAAACAGGGGCAGCAACAATTGAGCATTGTTTTTTGTAGAGGTTCAGGGCATATACACTGCTGGGGGGGCTACGCGGGGGGCTTCGCGGGGCCAGAATATGTGGAAGGGTTGGCTTCGCGAGGCTTCGCGGCAAGACGGTGGCTTCGCGGAGTGGCTTCGCCGGGCTTCGCGGATGCACAAACATCTCTGACGTTTGCACCCCCGTGTTGTTGAATCAAGTTGAGTCGGCAAGAGAGGCATTGAGCTTCAGGACTAGGGGACATGGCTGGGCCTCAAAGGGCGGAGCATGGAAGTTGGACCGCGGTGGCTTTGCAGTGGCTTCGCGGAGGCGTCACGGTGGCTTCGCGGGGGCTTCGCAGAGGATTCGCAGAGGCTTCGCGAAAACGTTCCATCGTTTCTAGCAAAACCGGGCCTGAAACGCACAGTGCTCTTCCGGTCGTCTTCGGGTAATCTTCCTGTAATCTTGTCGTAGCCTGCTGACTCTAAACATCAACCTTGGGAATACTACTGCCATGAAAGCGCACAACACACTTGCCATGAAAGCACGCAATACACTCAAACCACGAAGTGGCTTCGCGAAGTGGCTTCGCCTGTGTCAATGTTACCGGGCTACTCGAAGTGGCTTCGCGGGGCTTAGCTAAAATCCATCATCTGAGAAAAACAACGCTGCTCAATTGGGGTGTTCCTTTAAACATGTTTTTTAAGGCACCCAAAGACCACTAAAAGTATGTCGAGAAATTGCAGCCATCCAGCTGGGTGAATCTTCATCTCTTGGTCCGCTTGAATGAGCGACGTCTCGATGATGTTGTTGAACACGATTTTCATCGCCTGGGGGATGCACACAGGGGGTGTCCCGACATGCGACCCAACAGGCAGGTTGAGGGTGAACCCTTTCAACGGGAACCAACCATGTTTGGCGGCCCAATGAAGGTGGCAAGGATACCCACCAAAAAAATCTATCTGGGCTTCATTTGGGGACCCATGAGCATGGATCGTCCATGGATGATGAAGGCTCTATAAGGGAACCAACGCACCTCAAATGAAATCCGCAGGATTCGAGCTGAGCGCTTGGCCAGCTGTCCGATGCTCGCCTTTGCCAGCCTCAGATCTGTAGCCCCAACCAGTTTTCAGGCGGGTGGGCGAGTTCGGAAGACCCCTGCGAAAGATGACAAGTTCTCAAGTCGGTATATTCCAAAGCTTTTCCCAATTCATTCCCCAGAGCCAATTCTCACACGCGCCTGGGGAGCCTGGTGCTTCCTCACACCTGTTCCATCTCGCAAGCTCTGCCAGGCCACGTCGTCGCAGGAGATTCAAGTCGGCCGTCCAACAGGATCACAGGCATCGGAATGATGATGGCGATGATTGTGCCTGAGGGAACTCAGAAAACAAACGTTCCTAGTGGCACAGGTTCCGATCGCCACAAGACAATTTGTGTAGCATCCCACTTAGTGAGCTGTTCACTTCTTAGAACCCGTTGAACTGTCCTTTTGAACCCGAGCGATGTCGTGGGTTTCGACAGCAACTTGGGAGCCGGCCAACTTCTGGGACGTAGTTGAAGAAGAACGACACAATTCCGAAAAAGATGGCCTGATCCGTGCATGCCGGTTTTCGAAAATACGAAACCCTTTTTGGATAAAAGGAAGTATCAACATGCCAGGGCTTGAAACAACAGACCCTACTTGTGACACCCCCGCATGAATGCACCACCAAACGTCAAGCACCGCACGTACATTGGGGCTGTCAGCCAGGTGGCCAAGTCATTGTGCAAAAGCAAGAAGAGGGCAGATACCTCGGGCAGTGCACAGCGCAATCTTTGACTTCAAAGCCATTCTGAGACATCCTGAGAAGCAGGCAGAGAAGCCATACAACAGCGAAACAAAGGTCTTCTTCCAAAGATAGCTTCGAACCTCAGGAAGGATCTGCACGGTAAATCTGCAAAAGCACAGGTGTGTGAGGTGTATGGGCGTTATCCAATACTACTTTTCCTGAAAACCCTTCAATCGCCGGCCTTTTGCGCTCCAAACGCGGGCCAATCGCGGCGCAAAATTGGTGACTTCTTCCCATCTTACCCGCAAACATGTAGATTTTGCCCCAATCGCGGCCCAATAGCCGGCCTTTCGCGATGCGGGCCTTACCAATCGCGCACAACTAACAAGTTACCCAAATAAATAAATTGAGGACGTGCATTTGCGAACGGCCCCCAGAATTCACAGGTTTCGACTTGCATTATAGAATGCAGCATGCAAAGTCCGGCCATTTCTGATCAAGAAGCAAGGTTGCTGACCTTGCCACCAATCGGCAACGGGTGCAAAAGCCCGAAGATCACATACAATAATATGATGATCAGGCTCACCACGCACCTAGCAAATTGCGGTCCAGAGCCTGTGCTTGCACAACTCGCAGTTTTTTCAAGGCCAGCTTGAGCACTCTTTTGCAAATGCACTCTTTTGCAAATGGCAGTGTCAATCACAACTGGCCTGTTTGGAGGGTTTTGCAAGGAGCAGGCGTGACTGCATTTTGACAGCCTCCCCGGCCCTCATCAAGCTCTAGCACCAAATTGATCAAATCTCCGGCCAGGCAAGCCATTCTGAAGAACCGGGTGAGGATTTCTCAAAATGGTGGACCCCCTTTCGGTCGATAGGAGAAAGAAGAACCAAGACAAAACCAAGCAGGGGACCGCCATTTTGAGAAACACCCTGCAGGCAAAACAGCCAACCATCAAGGTTGAGCAGTGACATTGACGTGCAGACCAAGATGCGAAGAAACGTCAGCAATAATCTCCTCCACTACAGAAGACACCAATGATTGGCCCTTGTCCAGCAGGTACGTGTAAAACCTAAGCGCAAATCTGTATCTGCATGTTGCTGCTGCTGGTGCTGCTGCTGTTGTTGGTTGCTGCTGCTGCTGCTGTTGTTGTTGGTGGTGGTGGTGGTGGTTGTTGGTTGTTGGTTGTTGGTTGTTGGTGGCTGGTGGCTGGTGGCTGTTGGCTGTTGGCTGTTGGCTGTTGGCTATTGGCTGTTGGCTGTTGGCTGTTGGCTGTTGGCTGTTGGCTGTTGGCTGATGGCTGTTGGCTGTTGGCTGTTGGCTGTTGGCTGTTGGCTGTTGGCTGATGGCTGTTGGCTGTTGGCTGTTGGCTGTTGGCTGTTGGCTGTTGGTGGTTGGTGGTTGGTGGTTGGTGGTTGGTGGTTGGTGGTTGGTGGCTGGTGGTTGGTGGTTGGTGGTTGGCTGTTGGCTGTTGGTGGTTGGGGGTTGGGGGTTGGTGGTTGGTGGTTGGTGGTTGGTTGTTTGTCTTTGTTGTTTGTTGTTTGTTGTTTGGTGTTTGTTGTTTGTTGTTTGTTGTTTGTGGTTTGTGGTTTGTTGTTT